TTTTTTTTTTTAATGATAGGAATATTATGAGTCTACAGAAGAATAGTAGGTGAACCAGAGCATATCACTCTCCCTAGTGAAGATAGGTAAATATATTAACCAAAATACATATAACCTTGTTGGGAATTGTATAGGAAAACAAGTCATCTTGCTTTTCTAATTGTTACACTACTTGCCCTGCATTTAATTGAAATTTTTTGTTTAATATTTACTGTCTGGTTATACCATGTAGAATATAAAGTTTCTGTGAACAGATTAAAAATTCAAAAATAAATGCTTAAGTAATAAAATGATTTTTTAAAAGATTTTATTTATTCATCTGAGAGAGAGAGAGTGTGCACAGGAGCATGAGTTGGGGGAGGGGCAGAGGGAGAAGCAGGCTTCCTGCTGAGCAGGGAGCCCGACAAGGGGCCCAATCCCAGGACCCTGGGATCATGGCCTGAACTGAAGTCAGATGCTTAACCAACTGAGCCACCCAGGCACCCTAGTAATAAAATGATTATTGTTAAAAAAAAAAAAAATACTGGGGCTCCTGGGTGGCTCAGTTGGTTAAGCGACTGCCTTCGGCTCAGGTCATGATTCTGGAGTCCTGGGATCGAGCATCGGGGGCTCCCTGCCCGGCAGGGAGTTTCCTTCTCCCTCTGACCCTCCCTGCTGTCGTGCTCTGTCTCTCTCTTTCTCTCTCTCAAATAAATAAAATAAAAAAATAAAATAGACCCAGAATAAACAGTAAAGTATCTGCTTTTCTTGCTAAGGTGCTTTGTATCTCTAATATAAGGATAAATATGTCCCTTAAATGTCATCCATGATTAGCCAGTTAGAGTGGACACGACTCACCTCGCAGGGACTTGGTGAGTGTGAGTATCTACTTGATTATGTAGTTGGCTCAGGCAAATGAAATAAAAACTAATCATTTTAATACGTCTTTTCTTTCATGATGCTTTTGTTCTCTATTTCCTGTAAGTTTACTGGTAATTCACCTTTTGGAGATTGAAAAGAGGAGCTGATAGGTTAGATAACTTACTCTAATGAAATCAAGGAGCCATTCTTATCCCATTGTTACCTTCTGAAATACCTTTCAGATGTAGAAGCCTGACAGGAGATTCTGGACACATTTTGGGAAGAAGTAAATGTGGTCATTTTGCAGACTCTTGTCCAGCCTGCCTCATGCCCAATCCCTGTGCTTCCTGCCTTCCAGTTCTCTCCTGCGCTATGGTGGCAATCTGTCCCTGCAGAGTGCCATGAGCGTGCGATTCAACAGCAACGGCACCCAGCTCCTGGCCCTGAGGCGTCGCCTGCCCCCTGTGCTCTATGACATCCACTCCCGCCTGCCTGTGTTCCAGTTTGACAATCAGGGTTACTTCAACTCTTGCACCATGAAAAGTTGCTGCTTTGCAGGGGATCGTGACCAGGTAGGTGCCCTCTGTCTCCTGCATCCCACAGTCGTGCTTTCCTCTCAGATCGCTCCTTCTGTGCTGCTCTTTATTTCTCCTTAGCATCATGTCAGGTAGAAACAATTGAGGCACACAGTGTCTCTGGACATTCTAGCATAATATTGAGTCTCTTCATCAGAGTTTCCATTGAGTAATATAAGGCACACACCATGAACCAAGGCTGGCCACAGTATAGTTCTGAGCAGCCTAGCTTTGCCAGGTTTGTGAACAGACTTTAAGGTTCTAAGAATGTGTCATTTCAAAAGAAAGGAGGGAGTCCATGGAATATTAGCCTGCCAAAAAAAAGAGAGACTTTTTGTGTGTGTGTATCAATAAAACACAATGATGAATGAAACACCCTAAGTACCATCCGAGAGACATATATCCTGAATGGCCCCTTGGGATGGGACCTTTTTCTTGGATGAGATGGGCTGAGTAGCCTTGTTTGAGAGGAAGCCAGATGCTGACTCTTTTACTTTTTATTGCCAGCATCACAACTGGGAAGGAGAACCCAAGCTGTGTTTCCAGTCTTTTCACAGTCTCACTGGGAATTGAGATACTGATGTTGACTTAGAGCTGGCAGTTTAAAAAACATGCTTGGCATTCTTGCACCTGTCTTGGCCATAGAAGTTCTGAAGTGGGTGTGTGGGTGTCAGTGAGTGGACCAGTTAGACTGGTCTCAGTAATCAAGCTGAGTAAAGATGAATATAAAGAAGCATTGATGAAATAAACACATAGGTGTTTTTTTTTCCCTTCTCAAACAGAACAAATATTTGGCTATTTCACATCTAGATTGGAAAAAGAGAGACCTTAGTCTCTTGCTAATGCTTAGTGTTCTCTTTGGGCTCATCATCATCTTTAACATAATTCTCACATGCTGTACTCACCTCTTTAGAGTTATTTGTGGGCAAGGGACATAAAAGAAACAGTTCTTGGGGAACCTGTGAAGACCCTGCTCTTTGAAGGCAGAACCTAGGGTTTTTCTTCCTAGACTGGAATTGCTACATGCTCCCCAATATCAGAGCTTAAAGACTAGTATATGCAGTAGGAGCACAATAAATGCTTGTTGAATTGAGTTAAATGTTAAAGAAACTGAAAATATCTTTTAAGTTGTCTAGACTAGGGATGTCCCTTTTGTAAATAGAGAATATATATCTAAATTCAGAATTTATGTTGAAGGCAGATTCCTAGGGCCTACTTAGCTGTGATCCACACTGGAAACCACTAGGTGGCCTCAGTTATATAAGCGATGTCTCCTTGAAGAAGCCATAATGCCTGAAATTACTTAGTTCTTACAGGCTATTTGTTTCTTGGGTGGGAAGAAGCCGTTTCTAGATATGATCAGACTCACAACAGAACAGATCATTGTCTACTCTTTAGATTGGTTGATTTAGTTTCACTTAGATGTAGAAATGACAACCAAGCCTCTCCCTCCCTTTTCCCCTTCGTTTCTTCCTTCTTGCCTTTCTTCCTTGCTTTTAAGTTAATTTTTCTATCTTCTGTCACTCTCTTATGCATGTGATTCTTATTTCAATGACCAATAAAAAATAGGCGCTAAATGTAATGGTTTATTAGGCTTTATCACCAGAAACACAGGGGCTGAGGGAACAATGAAAGATGTAAAGGAGAATAGATGTTAATTTTCTTTCAGTTCCTATATTATCAGCCAGAACCTGTCTGCATGGAGCCCTTAAAAGACCCAGAATACAGGCCTCTAGCCAATATGTAGAACACCCAGACCATGGTTTCTTAACCTCTGTACTATCGACATTTTGGTTGAATAATTCTTTGTTTTGTGGGGTTCTCTTATGCATTTCAAGATAGTAGCATCCTTGGCCTGTCCCCACTAGATGCCAGTGATGTCTCCCCTGTCATCCCCCAGACAACCAAAAATGTCTCTAGACATTGCCAAATGTCCCCTGGGGGAAAATTGCCCCTGACTGAGAACCTCTGACCTGGATTATAATACCCATTTTGCCCAGATACACTGGGACAGGTATTGCCACAGGCAGAACCTGAGTAGGTATTTTGTGATTGTCCTGGTTATGTACATTGCCAAGATGTAGTTGTTTTTGTCTTTAAGGTTATATATAGTGATAAAAACATTGAATAGCTTTTCATTTTTTTCTATTCAGATTTGACTAATTTATTATGTGTGTTTTTAAAAAAAAATATTTAAGTAATCTTTACACGCAACATGGGGCTTGAACTCATGACCCTGCTGAGATCAAGAGTCATATGCTCTTCCAACTGAACCAGCCAGGCACCCCTTATGTGTGATTTTTTATCCAATGGGAAAAGTCTATGGGTACTGTATCCTCTCTGACAAACTAGATTGTTTTTTTGGTTTTCTGTGAAGGAGGATGCAAAGTCATTGAATCTAACTTTGGATCCATTTCAGAGGTAAAGTCTTTCAAGTCTTTTCATAGTCCCCATAGAGATTATCAGAAGTATATAACCTAGGGAATAGGAAGTACAGAGATTTATGTTAGACTATTTTGTTCACTCCTTAGGGACTAAGAAATGAAGTGTGGCGAATTCATCATTGCCTTGTCTCTAATACCTGGCACACAGTGAGAGCGCAATAAATATTTGTTGAAGCAAATCTTGAATACTTTGGTCAATGTGTGGTTTTTAGCTTTTTAGGCCTAAGGCTTCTCTAACTATAAATCAGAATTGATAAGTACCGTTTTCTCCTGCTCAACTTCCAGAGACTTTATGAGGATGAATTAATAGATTTTTAGTGAGAATAACCTACTGAGCTTATACTTTGTAAGTGCTATACAGGAGGCCAAACTTACTGTCTCATTGCTAGAACATGTCTCTAAGAGGTGACTTACCGGCTCTTTCCACACTCAGAGCTAAAGCAGCAGGTGCCACGGTTACAGTATGATCTGCAGGACTGACATGTATAGTCTTTGACTAGTCCAGACAGGATCTTTTTTGCTGCTTTCAAATTCCAAAGCCTACTCTTTCCTTATACTGGTCTTTATATTTGCTCTTGTTCTTGTATACTTTGAGAACACCCACAGCTGGAGGCTCTGTGCTCTGGAACTCTTCATTTAGTCATGGGCTGGATAACCATCCCAGGGAGGAATCTGAGAATTTCCATAATAGGAATGAACATGGTCAAGAAAGACACTAAGTGATCTATCTATCTGAGACAGTCTTCTGGCTTTTAATTACAGTGAGATAGTCTTTCCACACAAATGGACCAGATGCTGTGCCAGAGAACCTATACTTCCTTTTAGACTATCCTAGGTTCACTAGGTACTTCTTTAGCCTCCGAATGAAATTAACATTTCAAGAAATTGGACTCAGGGAATAGAGTGTGAAATAGGCTGAGCCTACTTTGTGTCTCCCCTATGCTCAGCGCCACCACTGTAGATGAATTCTAATTATAGAGCTATTAGAGATCATTTTGGATAACCCTCCTTTTATAGATGAGAAAACTGAGGCTCAGAGACGTTGGGGACGTAAGTCAAGACATACACATGTTTGTAGCTGAGCCAGGACTGGAACCCAGATTTTTGAGATCTCAGTAGAGCCTTTTCTTTGTCTTTTTAAGATTTTATTTTTTTTAAAGAGGAAGAAAGGGGGGAGGCATTATCTTTTTTTTTTTTTTAATTTTTATTTATTTATTTGACAGAGAAAGACACAGCGAGAGAGGGAACACAAGCAGGGAGAGTGGGAGAGGGAGAAGCAGGCTTCCCGCAGAGCAGGGAGCCCGATGTGGGACTCGATCCCAGGACCCTGGGATCATGACCTGAGCTGAAGGCAGATGCTTAACGACTGAGCCACCCAGGCGCCCGTGAGTCACATATTTTAGATAGAGACTTCTCGGTACACTCTAATCATTTTGGCTTCATTTACTCATGAATTTACCCATGTATGGAAGACTTTCCAAGGACATTGCAAATGTTTCTGGATTCTGCATAAAATACTGTTTTGAATCTGTTTTTTATTCTAATAATATGACCTTGCCATTTATTTATGGGTGCTTTGGAAGTGGGATGGAGGATCTGTGGAAAGAAGTCAAACTGAGTGTAGTTTCAGACCTAACTTGATGACTGTGTTCAGTGCTAACCAAGGTAGGCTGTTTAGTACTTAGAAACCTATCAAAGGAGGGGTATTTGCTCTCATTGAGAAAGATGGTAAGGGACACTGCAGTTTTCAGAGGACTCTGAAAATTTTTGTTGGACTATCATGGAACTTAAACTAATGATTTAATTTCAGACTTAGCATCTGTACCAGAATCCTATGGGGCAGCATATTATTTGAAGTTTTCATTAAGAGGCTCTTTAAATTCCCTACTCTTGTACTTTTCTCAAAGCTGTCTTCCTAGTTAAAAGCTGTCTCAAACTGTCCCCTAGTTAAAAAGGATCTGTGTATGGGCACCTGGGTGGCTCGGTTGGTTAAGCATCTGCCAGATCTCGGGGTCCCGGAATCAAGCTCCGCATCAGGCTCGCTGCTCAGCAGGGACCCTGCTTCTCCCTCTCCCTCTGCCACTCCCCCGCTTGTGCGCTCTCACTCTCTCAAATAAATAAATAAAATCTTAAAAAAACATAAAGATAAAAGGATCTGTGTATGAGATGGTATTTTAAAATAACATTTTCTGCTGATTACAGGAAAAATTCATGTTTATTGTAGAAAAACAGAAAAATAAAATGAAAGGCATAAAAAATAAAAATTACTTAAATCCTATAGTCTAATTTATATATCTTCTTGTTGGTCTTTGTACATCCATCAGTCTGAATGTTTATCACTATCTATTCATAAATATAATAGTATAGGGCGTAGATTCAAAACCTGAAATTCAAAATTTCACTTTCTGAAACCTGACAGATGAATTTTCTTTAACTTGACTTCCCCAAATGTAATTATTAATTTTCTTTTTGTTCTTCAAATATTAGAACCTCACTTTAAAGTACAAGATATAATTAAGATACCTTCCTACCCGCTAAACTCTTCCTTCTTGTTGGCCACTTATTGGCAGGTAGATGAATTTAACTTACTTGAAGGATGTGTGGTGACACAAAGACGGGGTAACCTGGGTGGTCATTGGCAAGTTGGGCCTGTTCTTTGCCTGTCCGGGAGGACTTCGACTTAGATGATCTCCAAGCCTCTTGCTATTTTAATTAATTAACTGATTAATTATTAAAAGATTTTATTTATTTGAGATCGAGAGAGAGAGGACACACGAGCAGGGGGAAGGGGCAGAGGGAGAGGGATAAGCAGACTCCACTGAGCAGGGAGCAGATGTGGGACTTGATCCCGGTGTCTGGGATCATGACCTGAGCCGAAGGCAGACGATTAACCGATTGAACCACCCAGGCGCTCTGCCTCTTGCTATTTCTCCAATTTTATGCTGTTTTGAGGCTTGCCTCTCAGATTGGGTGGTGGAGCCCATTTTCCTTTTTAATGTTCAAAGTCAGGGTTTTTCTTTCTTTCTTTTTTTTTTTTTAAGATTTTATTTATTTATTTGAGAGAGGGAATGAGAGAGAGAGAGCACAAGAGGGGGGAGTGGGAGAGGGAGAAGCAGACTCCCCACTGAGCAGGGAGCCCAATGCGGGACTTGATCCCTGGACTCCAGGATCATGACCTGAGCTGAAGGCAGTTGCCCAACCAACTGAGCCACCCAGGCGCCCCAAAGTCAGGGTTTTTCAAACTGCTTCTCATGATCCATTAGATCATTCATTCAGCAGCTATTTATTAAATGACTGTGAGGTGTCTGGCACTATTTAAGCACTTGGGATATATGGGGAAAAGATATAAAAGCTAGTAGTCTAGTGGGAAAAGACAAATAAGAAACAAAGTAAATACATAAAAATATATGGTATGTAAGATGGTGATTGATGTACTAGGGAAAAATAAAGGAGGCAATTGGGGAGCTTGCATTTTTGCACAGGGTATCAGAAAGGGCCTGATTGAGGAGGATACTTGAATAAAGAGGTAAGTGAATGAGTCATGGACATATCTGGAGAGGAACATTCTGGACTGCAGGATTTGCAAATGCAGACCCTGAAGCAGAAGCATGCTTGACTTGTTCCGGGATCAGTAAGGAGGCATCATGTGGCTGAAGTAGAGTAAGGTAGAAAGAGTGCTAAGAGGTGGGGTCAGAGATACAGGGATCGGGAGGTGGTTGTCTAGGGCTTTATTGGTGTCGTAAGGAATTTGGTTTTTACTTTGATGTAAATGGGGAGCCACTGGAGGATCTTTAGCAAAGGAATGATGTGTTCTGACTCATGGTTCAGCATCCCTCTGGCTGTGTTATTCAGGATAAATGAAGCATGGGGCAAGAGTGGAAGCAAGGAGGCTAAGGTAGGAAGCTCTTTCAATAATTCTGTAGGCCATGAAATCAATTTAGATGGTTACAAGTATTTATTAAATAAAAAAATATAGAATAGAAAATCAGTGCATAGCATTATAGTAGGTGGTAAGTATTGTTTAATGAATTTATGCTAAAAATGTGGGTGTACTGGAATGCAGTATAAAATGTACTTTACAAAGGGTTGCTATAAAAAAAAGTTTCAAAGCCATTATTCTAAGACACTCCTGTTACTGCCAACTAGAGGGGACTTTGGTGTTTGGATACATCTCAGCGAGCGGCTCCTATGAGAAACAGGCTGGCTTCCTGTTTCGTGTCTCATCAGTCAGCAGGTTGGCCTTCTCTCCCTTTCCTTTGCACCCCTGTTGTCTCTTGTTTTCAACTGTTTGCATAGTAGTTCTTCCTAGAAGGTAACAAATTGTGATTTTTGTTTTCAGACCCTCTTTTGCTTAGGATTTTTTCCAGACTTTGCCTCTTTCCTCTTTAACATTCCTCCAGCTTTGTGGTCTTGCACCCTAACAGTTAGTGCTCTGACCCAGCTTCCTCTCCTGCCATCGGGGGCTGCCTGTTTACCTGCATGTATTCCCACCCCCTCCTGCAGCACTGTTACTGTTGCTGTAGCAACTGCCATCCCAGTCTCCCTCTTGCCCTTGCTTTTTCCTCCCTCTTGCCAGCCACTGTTCGTTAAACTCTCCCTCTCCAGTTTTATATACTGTGAGGTCAGGGCTGATGCTAATGTAAAATCTGTCAGAAGGTAGGACCAGGAGTAGTTGTAAGGTGAAGATTAAATGGCTGCTTATGAAACCCTTCTTTATGTTCTGCAGCTTGAGAAGAAGGGGGATTCTGAGTAAGCCAAGCCATCTGATGAATTGAGATGACTAAATGTTGAGTCCTTAGTTCTAAGGGAAATTCATGAGTGTCCTACAACAAATCTTATGATTATGGCAGTGCCTCTGAATTTATTTTGAGATCTTGTTTGGTTCTGTGTGGCTTTCGGGATCTCTGGACCAAACACAAAAATTTAGATTCCAGATCACTTCAACTTTGGGTATGTCCCTGTTCTGGAAGAAGATGATGAGAAACACTGCAATGCCTGCCATCCACGTTTGCTTTGTGGGAGGACTAGATACGCCATTTGATCATCTAAAGATTTCTCTCTCTTTTTTAAAAGATTTTATTTTATTTTATTTTATTTTTTTTAAAGATTTTATTTATTTATTTGACAGAGAGAGACACAGCGAGAGAGGGAACACAAGCAGGGGGAGTGGGAGAGGGAGAAGCAGACT